CTGGGCTTGAGCACTGTCCCTAAGCTCTTCAGCTCAAGGCTAGTGCTCTACCACTTGAGCCACAGCGCCACTTCCGGCTTTTTTCTTTTTGCTTATGTGGTGCTAAGGAATCGAACCCAGGGCCTCGAGCATGCAAGGCAAGCGCTCTACCACTGAGCCACCTTCCCAGCCCACAAAATGATTTTTATACAAAGAATTCTTTATTTATATATTATTTGGCGATCGTGGGGCTTGAACTCTGGGCCTGGGCACTGTCTCTCAGCTCTTCAGCTCAAGGCTAGCACTCTGCCACATGAGCCACTTCTGGTTTTCTAGTGGTTTATTAAAGCTAAGAGTCTCACAGACTTTTCCTGCCCAGGCTAGCTTTGAACCGCAATCCTCAGATCTCAGTTTCTTTAGTAGCTAGGATTACAGGGGTGAGCCACCAGTGCCCAGACTTTTTTTTTTCTGTGACACTCTTATATCCACTTAATGACCAAAAAGCTGGAAGTAGAACTGTGGCTCAAGTGTTAGAGCTCTAGCCTTGAGAAAAAGAAAGAAAAACTCAAGGACAGTTCCCAGGCTATGTATCAAACCCAGGACTGGCACCACTTCCTCATCCCCCTTTCCCCACCCCCCCAAAAAAAGCTTGTTGATGATGTCTTTAGGAAATTGATTACTTTCACTCTTCTTTCCTGAGATTGTCCAGGCACAGTGGTTTGATTAGTCTGCTCCAAGTCTGACTGTTAAAAGGGTTCTGTGGCCTCAACAGAGTTCAATAGAGCAAAAAGGTAGAGGGGGTAACAAGTCATTCATTTACTTTTACTTTTCTGGCTCTTCTCTGGTGGAAGTGAGTAAGAGCAAACACCAGCGTTTGGAAAATCCTAGCAGGCCTTTCTCATCTGACTGTCTAGGATACTTTTTTTGTTTTTAAACTGGTCCTGGAGCTTGAACTCAGTTCTGCTTCTGGCTTTTTGGTGGTTAAGTGTCTCCCTGACTTCCCTCCCTGGGTTGGCTTTGAACTTGAATCCTCAGATCTCAATCTCCTAAATAAGCTAGGATTACAGTGAGTACTACCCACTGTAGTAGGTAATAGTTTTCATCTTGCTCTCCCTGCCGGAGGATGACTACTGGCTGAAGACTCCTTGGTTAATACTGTTTCTGTGGGCTCTTTTTTCCAGGACATCAATAGCCTCAACAAACAAATTGCTCAGCTTCAAGACTTCGTAAGAGCCAAGGGCAGCCAGAGTGGCCGGCATCTACAGACCCATTCCAACACCATTGTGGTCTCTTTGCAGGTAGGATTGGGGGATGGAGGAAAGGAAGGGAGCAAAGTATGTTTTTTATTTTTTAAATGTTAAATGACAATAAGTACTATTATTGTTTTACTCATTTTTATAGTGATCCTTGGGTTTGAACTGATTGAAAACTTCTCAGTTGTTTGACAGATTATCTGCAACTTAAGTCACACCTCTCATCTCATTTTACTTTATGTATTTCTCAGATACTCTGCCATGTTTTTGCATGGACTGTCCTAGAGCATGATACTCCTGTTTATTTCCTCCTTGAAGCTTGGATGACCAATGTGTGCACTACACACGTAGCTCATTTACGATATGGTCTCACTAACTGTCAAGGCTGTCTTAGGAACTGTGACCTATCTAGACCTATCTAGTCTCCACCTCCTGAGTGGCTAGGATTACAGATGTACCCACATTACCAGCAAATTATTTTTATTTTTATTTCCTTTAATGATATTAGAGTTTGAACTCTAGGCCATGTGCCATATACCCTCAGGTTTTTTTCTTTTTTTTTTGTGCCAGCCCTGGGGCTTGAACTCATGGTCTGGGCACTGTTCCTTTCCTTCTTTCCTTCCTTTCTTCCTTCCTTCCTCTTTCTCTTTTTCTTTTTCTTTTTCTTTTTCTTTTTTTTTTTGTTCTCATCCTGGGTCTTGAACACAGACCCTAAGTGTTAGGCCTTAGCTTTTTCACTTAAGGCTGGTGCTTACCACTTGAGCCACAGCTCCATTTCCAGCTTTTTGTTGGTTAATTGGAGATAGGTAAGACTTGCAGATTTTTCTGCCTGGGCTGACTTGGATCTCAGCCTCCTGAGTAGCTAGTATTGTTTGTTTGTTTGTTTGTTTTCCAGCATGGGGGCTGAACTCTGGGCCTGGGTGCAGTTCCTCAGCTCTTCAGCTCAAGGCCAGTGTCCTACCCCTTGAGCCACAGTGCCACATCTGGCTTTTTTCTGCTTATGTGGTTTTGAGGAATGGAACCCAGGGCCTCATGTGTGCAAGACAAGCCTCTACCACTGAGCCACCTTCCCAGCCCCTGAGTAGCTAGTATTACAGGTGTGAGCCACTAGTGCCTATCTTGTTTTTACTTTTTTTTTTGTCAGTCGTGGAGCTTGAACTCTGGGCCTGGGCGCTGTCCCTCAGCTCTTCAGCTCAAGGCGAGCGCTCTACCACTTGAGCTACAGCGCCACTTCCGGTTTTCTGGTGGTTTATTGGAGATAGGAGTCTCACGGTCTCTCCTGCCCGGGCTGGCTTTGAACCGCGATCCTCAGATCTCAGCCTCCTGAGTAGCTAGGATTACAGGTGTGAGCCACCAGCACCCGGCTCTTGGTGGTGATTTTATGTTTGTGCTTGTCGTCCTGGGGCTTAAACTCAGGGCCTGGGCACTGCCCTTGCACTTTTTTGATCAAGGTTAGTGCTCTACCACTTGAGCCACAACTCTACTTTTGGTGTTTTTTGTTTTTTTGTCGGTCATGAGGCTTGAACTCTGGGCTTGAACGAAGGTTAGTGCTCTACCACTTGAGCCACAACTCTACTTTTGGTGTTTTTTGTTTTTTGTCGGTTATGAGGCTTGAACTCTGGGCTTGAACACTGTCCCTGGGCTCTTCAGCTCAAGGCGAGTGCTCTACACTTGAGCCACAGAACCACTTCCAGTTTTCTGGTGGTTTATTGGAGATAAAAGTCTCATGGACTTTCCTGCCTGGGATGGCTTTGAACTGATCAGATCTCAGATCTGACCTCAGACCTCAGCCTCCTGAGTAGCTAGGGTTACAGGCGTGAGCCACTGGTGCCCGGCTTACTTTTGGCGTTTACCTGGAGATAAGATACTCATGGATACCAGTGGCTCATACCTAGAATTCTAGCTACTGGGGAGGCTGAGATCTGAGGGTACTGGTTCCAAACCAGTCAGTGCAGGAAAGTCTGCAAGAATCATCTCCAATTAGCCACCAAAATGCTGGAAGTGGAGCTGTAGCACACTAAACTTGAGTAAAGAAGCTCAGGGACAACACCTAGGCCTTGAGTTCAAGCCTGGGTGACCAGGGGGTGGGGAAGTCTCATGGACTTTCCTTCCTGAGCTGGCTTTGTACCAGCCCTCCTATCTCAGCTAAGTAGCTAGGATTATAGGCATGAGCCTCTGGTGCCTGGCTAATTATAACTCATATCTCTAAGGTTAGGAAGAAAGGGAAGTGCTTTCTTCACAGTGGTCTTGTGGACCTCAGACTAGGTGTCAAAGCTATCATGGTCCTGATACATAGCCACTGATTTGCCTTGCTATACAGGTAAGACACTCCTCTCTTTGGCTTCAGAACATTTCAGTGTGCTGATCTTGGTGGTCTGGTCGTGATGATTGAATTCTCAAAATGTGAGAGCCAGGCACCAGTAGGTGAGATCTGAGGATTTCCGTTCCAAGCCAGCCTGGGCAGGAATGTAACTCCATTTAACCAGCAAAATGCTGAAAATGGAGCTAGCCTTGAGCAGAACAGCTAAGGGACAATGCCCAGGCAGTGAGTACTGGTGCTTACACCATAACAAAAAACATAGGACTTTTTTTTACAAAGAAGGTAACTATTTTGCCAGTCCTGGGGCTTGAACTCAGGGCCTGGACTCTGTCTCTGAGCTGTTTTTTTTGCTTGAGGCTAGCACATTTCCACAAGCCACAGCTCAACTTTTATGTCTTTCTGTTTATATGGTACTGGGGGATTGAACCCAGAGCTTCATGCATGCTAGGCAAGCACTCCTACCCTAAGCCACATTTCCCAGGCCCCCCCTTTTTTTTTTGGCTTTTGCCAGTCCTTTTGTACCACCTTGCTTTTCTATCCCTCTGTTGCCCCAAATGGGAGGACAGTATGTTCACCTTTTGCCCCAAACCACCCAACATAGGAGACTTTTTCCTTTTGCTGTCCATTCATGCTCCAGAACAAGTCTGCCCACTCCTACCCTTCCATTCCCAGTTTTCAGAGATGAGGTACATATCTTCAAAAGTTGCTCTGGGGAAGGGGGCAGGTCATAGGAAGCAGTGATCAGAAGAATGACAAGGAAGCAGTGGGATGAGGCGGCGCTGGTGATGCCTCTGTTTCTCTAGGTCCGTGTATATGATCCAGCCTCCCCCCAGCGCAGGCCAGTCCTAGAGAGCACCTATGGCGAGTATCCACTGACTGCCATGACCCTCACTCCTGAGGGCAAGTGAGTATCTAAAGGGGAAGGATGGGGCTCAGGAGGGATACTAGGAGGTTCCTGCTTATCCCAGCCCATCTTTGGTCTTCTTCTCAGTTCTGTCATTGTTGGAAACACTCATGGGCAGCTGGCGGAAATTGATTTTCGGCAAGGTGAGTGGCTTAGGGAATGCTTTGGATGTGAAGTCATTTCCCTCTGCATTGGAATAGGGAGCTGTCCAGGCCTCAGGCAAGGACAGGATACTTTGAATTCATGTTTGTTTCTCCAAAAGCTAGCTAACCCCCTGTGCTTTAGTTTCTTCATCTGTAAAATGGAAATAGATAACCCCTGTCTTGGGGTTCTTTGAAGGATAAAGTTTTGGAATGTAAAGTGGTCTGAACAGCAAGCATTCAACATTCAAAAAAAAGTTGTTGGCTGACCAGCAGGCCCTGGTGCCTCCCTCTCTTCTCCAGGGCGCCTACTGGGCTGTCTGAAGGGGCTGGCAGGCAGTGTCCGAGGGCTGCAGTGCCACCCTTCAAAGCCCTTACTAGCCTCCTGTGGCTTGGACAGAGTCTTGAGGATACATAGGATCCGGAATCCACGTGGCTTGGAGCATAAGGTATGAGTCCAGCCCTCATGCCGTCATCCCCTCTACCTTCTTAATGGTTTTCTGAAGCCCCCATTTTTTGTGCCCCTGTTTTTTGTTTTGTTTTTTGTCAGAGGTGGGGTCTGAACTCTGGGCCTGGGCACTGTCCCTTGGCTCTTCAATTCAATGTTAGCACCCTACCACATGAGCCACAGCGCCACTTCTGGCTTTTTCTGCTTATGTGGTGCTGAGGAATCGAATCCAGGGCCTTATACATGCAAGGCAAGCACTCAACCACTGAGCCACCTTCCCAGCCCTCGTTTTGTTTTTAATCCCAGCTTTCTAAGGCTCCTTAATGCCCCTTCTCTTTTTCAGATTTATCTCAAGTCTCGACTGAACTGCCTCCTCCTGTCAGGCAGAGATAACTGGGAGGTGAGCTGTCAGGTCTGGGAATGTGGGAGCTAAGGGCAGGTGATTTTCCTGTGGAGAAAAGAGGCAGCTGGAACAGAACCAGGGCTGTCCATTCACCTGCGGTGTCACTTAAACTATCTGAGTGGTGTTAAAAAAGCAGAATTGTCGCCTGTGGTGCCAGGCATTGTGGCAGTGGTTACTAGATGAAGGTGGTGGTGGTTCCCAGAGGGATTATTTTCCAAGTATCTCCTTCCTTTTCTGACCCTTCCCACTCATCAGGATGAGCCACAAGAACAAGAGCCCGATAAGACACCCATAGAAGACACAGAGACCGATGAACTTTGGGCCTCCTTGGAGGCAGCAGCCAAGCGGAAGCTTACTGGTTTGGACCCGACTCATGGGGCTCATCAAACCAAGAGGAAAAAGAAACGGCCTGGGTCCACCAGCTCTTGAAGACCCTGTGCCCACTATGTAAATAAACAGCTAACACCTACCAGGACTCTGAACCTTCTGTGATGCGCGGAAAGCAAGGGGGTAGCTGGTAGGGGCTCTCTGAGCTAGGAAGGTGGGATATCTGACGTCACAAAAGCCGACCCAAGGTCAGCAGGCTGGCTGGCGGGGGCGGAGTCCTGGCCGCGGGGCCATGGGCTGCTGCCAAGACAAAGACTTTGAGACTAAAGATGGGCGGGCCAAGGGCTTGTCAGAGGAAGGTGGGCCTCTGGATCGGGAGAGGAGGGTCCCCTGAAGGGACTGCCCTGGAGGTTGGACCTGGGAGGGTAAGGCTGAGTTCAGCAGCCTCCTAACCCTCACAGGCGCTGGAGGAATGGGCGTGGGCGCTAAAGGCCCCTCCGGCCGCAGGTCCAACGAAAGTCTTCTGATCACTGTGCTGTGGCGCCGGATATCCATGTTCAGCCGTCGGGGCTCGTCGCGGTCAAACAAGAGGCAATCGGATCAGATACAAAAGCAGGAGGAAGCCATCCATGAGGGCTTAAAATGAGGCTTAGGAGGATCCGGAGAAGGGGTGACCTGATCTCAGTCCGCCTCAAAGGCCAGACAATAAAATTTCTAATGTGGGTTTGTCCTCAGCACTCAATGTCGCTGGCCCAGCCGGCCCAGGCGCCACGGGCTCTTTAAGGCTCCTCCTCTGAGGCTTGCCCCGTCCCAGGCCCGGGTCGGCTCCTCGGGGGCGGGGTCACAGCGGTATCTTAGCCAATAGAAAGGTGGAATCGCGCTGACGTTGGGGGAAGGGCGTGTCTTGGGTCCCTGAGCTAGAAAAGGCGTGGCGCAGGCAACGCGTCACGGGGGTGGGGTTACGTGTAGGTGACGTGGCGGCTCAGAGTCTCACTCGGGTTTCGGCGACTTTAAGCCTCTAGGGAGGAGGCGGTGACAGCTTTGGAGATTGAGGCGGTGGCGCAGCGATAGGCAACAGAAAGGAGGTAGGATCCGCTGTAAGAGTGGCGCCCGGCCGTCGTGTCAGGATGTTCGCGGGCGGCGACGGGCGGGGGAGGGGAAGGGAACAGGGGTGAGGAGGCAAGTCCTGCCCCTCCGGCTCCGGGTGAGCGAATACCGCGCCATCCAATCAGGAAAGCCCATGTTGAGACAGACATCGCCGCTAGCTAATCAGTGGTGCCCGCCTTCCAGAAGTCAGAACTTTGGCTGGGCGGGACTTCCTGTTTCAAATAAACACCTTAGAGGTTTTTCCCCCTCCGCCCACCGAAGTATCTTCCCCACCCGGGATGTTCGTCACGGTTTCTCTGTGAGGGCTTGAAGGAAATTACGGGTAGGAAGAGGGCACGGTTAGAGGGTCTGGGACAGTTAGTTAGGGCGAGCTGGAGCTTCCGGGCCCCGGAACCTCGTTCGGGTTCTGCTTGACTTCAGGGCCCACCGGCCCGCGATTTGGCCGCCAGAGCCAACTTGGAAGAAAAGTCTGAGGAGACTTCTCGTTGGGCCCGGAAGAAATCGGCCCCTTCCTGCGGCGAATGGCACTCAGGATCTGCTAGTTCCCTTGGGCGCCAAAGTCTGTCGAGTGCAAGAAGGGCCCAAGGACTTGATGGTTGAGGAGGGAATTTGTCGGGAAGGAGGCCACCTGGGGAATGACACTCTCCCCTCCACCACAGTGCGAGGTTATGCGACTCAATGATCCCGCGGAAACGCTACGGGTCTAAGAACACGGATCAGGGTGTCTACCTGGGTCTCTCAAAGACACAGGTCCTGCCTGCAACTGCTGGCAGTAGCAGCAGCGACATCACCCCTCTGCCCCCTCCAGTGGTCCTGATCCCTCCCCCTCCCGACACCATGTCCTGCCGGGATCGGACCCAGGAGTTCCTGTCTGCCTGCAAGTCCCTGCAAAGCCGTCAGGTAAGGACCACTTGGAGTGGGAAAAGCTTGAGTCTGGGCAGAGCTGTGTCCGAGTACTGCTAAATGAAGTAATCCCTGGGGAAACTTGATGGACAGCTGGTAGTTTAGATGAACTTGATGAAGAGCTTAGTAGGACCTACTAAGTCACAGAGAATGGATGAGCTTGCTAGGAGGCAAGGTCCTAGCCCGTGCGCGCGATTCCCCAGAGAGTAGGATTGCTATTTTGTGTATGTATGCCCTACACTCAGGTATGCTGTGTACATGGATACTATGACTTGAATTTGGAGCCTGGGCGCTCTCCCTTAGCTTTTTCACTCAAGACTGATGCTCTACCACTAGAAGCACAGCTCCCCTTTCAAGCTCTTTAGTGGTTAATTGGAGATAAAAATCTCACACTTTTTGCTTGAGCTGGCTTCAAACTGTGATCCTCTGATCTCATCCTCCTAAGTAGCTATGTGAGCTACCACCACCCATCAGATTTCTATTCATGGGCTTGAACCTCAGGGTCTGGGCACTGTCCCTGAGCTTTTTTGCTCAAGGCTAGCTCTCTATCACTTTGAAGCACAGCTCCACTTTCGGTTTTCTGGTGATTAATTGGAGGTAAGAGTTTTATGGACTTTCTTACCCCTCCTGGCTTCGACAGCCATCCTCAGATCTCAGCCTCCCAAGTAGCTAGGATTTCAGGAGTGAGCAACCAGTGCTCAGCCCTTGGATTGCTATTCTTGTAGGAATGTTTTAAGGCCAGCAATGTTTGTTTATAAGGTATTTAGATTGTATAAGAAACAACTTCTGTAGCCTTCAGCTGAAAGATAGACACCTTAAATTCTAGTCCCACCACAAGGTTTCTCTGTGAAAACAATGAAGCTAGTTGAACCTCAGTTTTTCTATACTTACAATAGAGTGTGGAACAGATGAAGAATAGGTGGATTAGTAACTTTCTAATCAAAAAACTCTGACAACTACTCCTTTTTTTAAAAATGCAGTCCTGGGGCTGGGGTTTAAACTCAGGATCTAGGCACTCTCCCTGAGCTTTTTTGCTCAAGACTAACATACCAGTTGAGCCACTGCTCCACTTTCAGGTTTTTAGTGGTTAATTAGACATAATTAGAGTCTCAACAGATTTTCCTGCCTAGGCTGGCTTTGAATTGCAATCCTTAAATCTCAGCCTCCAGAGTATCTAGCATTATACACATGAGCCACTGGCTCCCAGTACTGTTCTAAAAACTTACACTTTTTTTTTTCTTTTGTCAGTCGTGGGGCTTGAACTCTGGGTCTGGTCACTGTCCTCAGCTCTTTAGCTCAAGGCTATTGCTCTACCAGTTGAGCCACAGCACCACTTTGTTTTACTGGTGGTTAATTAGAGATTAGAGTCTCACAGGCTTTCCTGCCTGGGCTGGCGTTGAACCACAATCCTCAGATCTCAGCCTTCTGAGTAGCTAGGATTATAGGACTGAGCCACTGGTGCCCAGCTAAAAATATTTTTTATTAGGATCAATTTGTTGTACAAGGGGATTTCATTTTGATATGTCCATATATACATAGTGCATCTTGATCAGGCTCACTCTTTTCTCTACTATGAAGCCATAGTGATAGCAAGTTTTGGTGGGAGAATTGTCTTTAGTTTATAAAAGAGCTTATGAAATTCAAAATGGTGGCCAGGTGCCGGTGGCTCACTCCTGTAATTCTAGATACTCAGGAGGCTGAGCTCTGAAGATCACAGTTCAAAGACAGCCAGGGCAGGAGAGTTTGTGACACTTATCCCCAGTTAACCACCAGAAAACTGGAAGAGGCACTGTTGCTCAAAGTGGTAGAGTGCAAGCCTTGAGCACAAAAGCTCAGAGACAGTGACCAGGTCCTGAGTTCAAGCTCCACAGCCAAAAAAAAAAAAAAAAAAAGTAGTCAGGTCCCAGTGGCTCCCACCTATAATCCCAGAGTTATCCCAGGCAGGAAAATCTGTGAGTCTCTTACCTCCTATTAACCACCAGAAAACCAAAAGTGGTACTGTAGCTCAAAGTGGTGAAGCACTAGCTTTGAGTACAAATGCTCAGGGGCAGCACTCAAGCCCTGAGCCTCACAACCAACCAAAAATTTAAAAAATTTCAAAATAGTTCAACTACCTCAGTTCCTCCAGTTTCTAAAGTGCTGGAGTCAAGGTTTGAACCTAGCTCTGATTTTCTACTTGGCTACAAATTACTGATAAATTTAAATTGCCTGCTGCCTGTCAGTTTGTCACCGGTACAGAGAAAGAAAGTTTTATGGACAGATGAGAAGCAACAAAGATGGAAATGATTGTAGGGGGAGCTCAAATCATGACTTCTTGGTATTATTTTTCAGAATGGAATCCAGACTAATAAGCCTGCTCTTCGTGCTGCCCGACAGCGCAGTGAATTTACTCTCATGGCCAAGTGAGTTGAGAGCTTTGTGATGTGATATACAATGAGAGTCCAAAGAGAAGTAGGCTTGCCTCTGGTGTCTTGATTTTTTTTTTTTTTTTGGGGGTCTGGTCATGGGGCCTGAACTCTGGGCTTAGGCGCTGTCCCTCAGCTCTTCTGCTCAAGGCTAGGGCTCTACCACTTGTGCCACAGCACCACTTCCGGCTTTTTTCTTTTTTCTTATGTGGTGCTGAGGAATCAAACCCAGGGCCTCAGGCATGCAAGGCAAGCGCTCTACCACTGAGCCACCTTCCCAGTCCTTGATTATTTTTTTTATTATTTTTATTTTTGTTGGTCATGAGGCTTGAACTCTGGGTCTGGGTGCTGTTCCTAAGCTCTTTAGCTCAAGGCTAATATTCTACCACTTGAGCCATAGTGCCACTTCCAGCTTTTTCAGTGTATGTGGTACAGGGGAATCAAACCAAGGGCTTCATACATGCTAGGCAAGCACTCTACCATTAGGCCACATTCCCAGCCCTGGTGACTTGGTTATGAAGGCTGAGATTGGTGGTCTTAGAGCTAATGTGGGAACAGTCCTTCTTCTTCCCCTTTCCAGTGTTCTCTAATTGTTTGCAGGCGCATTGGAAAGGACCTCAGCAATACGTTTGCCAAGCTGGAGAAGCTGACAATCTGTGAGTGTTCTTGGGATTTCTCTCTCACATAGCAGTGAAACAGAGGACTGAGGAACATGCATTCCTTGAGCTTCAACTTTTGGGGGATGTAAGAGATGCCAGGGATGGAACCCAGGGCCTTGGGCATACTAGGCAAGTGCTCTACCCCTGAGCTACACCCATGGCTCCTTGAGGAATGCCTTTAACCTGTTATAACTTTTTTTTTAATTGGGGGGGGGTGTTGGTTATGGGGCTTGAACTCTGGGCCTGGGCACTATCACTGAGCTCTTCAGCTCCAGGCTAGGGCTCTACCACTTGAGCCACAGCGCCACTTCTGGTTTTCTGAGTGGTTTATTGTAGATGAGAGTCTCATGGACTTTTTCTGCCTAGGCTGGCTTTGAATCCTGATCCTCAGATCTCAGCCTCCTGAGTAGCTAGGATTACAGGAGTGAGTCACCAGTGCCCAGCCTATTATAACTTCTTATTTGTCTTCACAGTGGCAAAGCGCAAGTCCCTCTTTGATGATAAAGCAGTAGAAATTGAGGAGCTAACATATATCATCAAACAGGTGAGCTGTTACCTGCCAGGAAATACCAAGATTTTATTTAGCTTCTGCATTCAAGGCTTAGACTCTGCCACGTAAGCCATGTTTCTGTTCTTTTTGTTGGTTAATTAGAAATAAGTGTCTTTCAGATTTGGCCCAGTGCTGGTGCCTCATGTCTGTCTGTAATTGTAGCTACTCAGGAGGCAGAGACCTGAGGATCAAGGTTCTTGGATTTGTCTTCCCAAGTTAGCCTGGAACCATAATTGTCAGATCTCAGCTTCTCAAGTAGCTAGTATTATAGCCATCAGCCCCTAGATCCCTGCTACGTCCATCATTTTGTGTGGAGTTCTAGAGCAAGTGTCTAGATGTATCCCCAAATGTCCAACTCTGATTATCTCCCATATACAAAGCCCTGCCTGGGGTACTGTTGATACAAACATGAGGCAAGATTCTTTCTTGCCTTTCAAGGGCTTCTTTTCTGGAAGAGACATCTGATGCCACAAGCCCATACTTAGCAGTTACTAGGAAGTGAGTGGTATAGAAAAGATGAATAGGCCGAGCCCTGGTGGCTCACGCCTATAATCCTAGCTACTCAGGAGGCTGGATCCTGAGGATCATGGTTCAAAGCCAGTCCAGGTAGTAAAGTCCCTGAGACTTATTTTTTTTTTTTTTTTGCCAGTCCTGGGGCTTGAACTCAGGGCCTGGGAACTGTCCCTGAGCTGCTTTTGCTCAAGGCTAGCGCTCTACCACTTGAGCCACAGCGCCACTTCTGGTGCTAAGGAATCGAACCCAGGGCCTCATGCATACCAGGCAAGCACTCAACCAGAGCCACCTTCCCAGCCCTCCTGAGACTCTTATCTACAATTAGCCACCAAAAGGCTGGAAGTGGAAATGTGGTTCAAGTAGTACAGCACTAGCCTTGAACACAAAAGCTCAGGGACAGCACCTGGACCCTGAGTTTAAGTCCCAGAAGAGAGAGAGAGAGAAAGAGAGAGAGAGACACACACACACACATACAGATACTGAAGGGAATAAAATCTAAGCTAGATTCATATCTTGTTTAGGAGCAGCGGAAGAGCATTCCAGGCAGAGGAACTGTAAAGATGGCTTGTAAAAGTGAAAATGTACCTCTTTGCTCAGATATCACCTGCTCAGGGCAGCTTACCCTGTTCATGATGTTTAATACTCTTATCACCCAAACTTTGATCTTCCTTATTCTGTTGTATTTTTGTGTAGCATTTGAACTTTATAACATTCTCTATAATTAGCTTATTTATGTTTGTTATTTCTATGTGTTCCTTCTCATCCCTCCCCTCAAATCAAAAGAGATGAACACTACCACAAGAGCCTCTGGCAGCTCATAATGCTCTAGAAGTCACAATTCTCCTGTCTCAGTCCTCTTGGTGCTAGATTACACATGTCTACCACTGTACCTGGCCAAGATGTTTTTTTTTTTTTTTTTTTTTGTCGGTCATGGGGCTTGAACTCTGGGCCTGGACTCTGTCCCTCAGCTCAACTCACGGCTAGTGCTCTACCACGTAAGCCACTACTTCCACTTTTCTGGTGGTTAATTGGAGATAAGAGTCTCACGTACTTTCCTGTCTGGGCTGGCATTGAATCTTTTTTTTTTTTTTGGGTCCGGTCGTGGGGCCTGAACTCTGGGCCTGGGCTCTATCCCTCAGCTCTTCAGCTCAAGGCTAGCGCTCTACCACTTGAGCCACAGCGCCACTTCCAGCTTTTTTCTTTTTGCTTATGTGGTGCTGAGGAATTGAACCCAGGGCCTCATGCATGCAAGGCAAGCGCTCTACCACTGAGCTACCTTCCCAGCCCTCCCTGAGGTTTTTTGCTCAAGGCTTGCACTCTGCTCTATTTCTGGCTTTTTTTTGTGTGTGTGTGTGTGTATGTGTGTTTAATTGGAGATAGAATCTCATGAACTTTCTTGCCCCAGGCTGGCTTCAAACTGCAGTCCTCAAATCTCAGCCTTCTGAGTAGCTAGGATTACAGGAATGAGCCAGCAGCACTGGCTTGACCGTTCTTTTAACCCTTAAGATGTGGCATGTCCTCTCTCTTCCTCAGGAGGTGGTCCTGCGGTTTTGGGGGCTGAGTCCTGTGCCTCCAGGGATGTGGCCATTGACATGGTGGACTCTCGGACCAGCCAGCAATTACAGCTCATTGACGAGCAGGTAGGGAGGCTCTGAACTGAGAAGGATGAGCTCCTCTGTTGTCTCCCCACCCTTCTGCCTAGAGTATTTGGGGTGTACGACGGTGGACTTGCAAGCTGAGAGAGTCTTAAAGCTCAGGCTCTTACCTATCCTGAAGGAGCTCATGATGAACTTGTGTTTTCTCCCTCTCCTGAAGGATTCCTACATCCAAAGTCGGGCAGATACCATGCAGAACATTGAATCTACAATTGTTGAGCTGGGCTCTATCTTTCAACAATTGGCACACATGGTTAAAGAACAGGAGGAAACCATTCAGAGGTGAGATGCCTTCTCTCTCTCTCCACTGAGAGAAGCCAAGGACAGGCAGCTTGATGTCTTCAGAAGAGTAGAATGAATCTTGCTTCCACCCATTTAGCACCCGTTCCAAGAACACTAAGTAAATTCCAAGCCCTAATAGAACTTATAAAAAATATAGAGAATTAAGTAAGACAATGTGTTAAGAAAATGACTGAGTAGTTGAGAGTGATTAGCACAGTAGAACATTGCCAGCATATCTAGGGTCTCAACCTAGACTCAATCCCTAGTATTTCACTGGGAAGGAGAGATAAGAAAAAAGTGACTAAGAGCCTGGCATGGTGGTGTGTGCCTGTATTTCCAGCTACCCAGGAGGCTGAGGCAGGAGAACTACTTGAGCTTAGGAACTTGAGGCTAACTTTAATAACATAGTAAGGTTTCTCTCAGAAAATAAGTAAAGAGCTGGGTATATCTCTCAGTGGAATACTTGTCTAGCATTTTCAAGGCCATAGTTTCTATGCCCAGGACTGTTAAAAAATACAAATAAAACACAAAGAATAAAATATTAAATGAAATAAAATGGGTCAGATGTGAGTGGCTCACCCTGTATTCCTAGCTACTCAGGAAGCTGAGATCTAAGGGTAGTGATTCAAAGCCATCCCAGTCAGGAAAGACTCTTTATCTCCAATTAACCACAAAAAAGCCAGAAATAGAACTGTGACTCTAATGCTAGAGTACTAGCCTTGAGTCGAAAAGCTCAGGGACAGCACACAGGCCCTGAGTACTGGCAGAAAAATAAATAAAGTGAGGAAAAAATGTGAGTAGCTAATCAGATTGAAAGAAAAGCAGAGACGACTACTCTGAAGAAAAAAAATACTTAAGGAGCTGAATAACAGGAGTTTATCCAGTCATCTAAAGAAGAGAGAAAATGCTTTAGACAGTGGGGACAGCTGGAGCAAAGACCTTAAGATGAATCTGTCTTCCTCCATTCAAGGATCAAGCCCAGTGTGGCTAAAAGAGATAGTGAGTACTACAGGAAGATAGAGGCCCACCAACGTAACCTCTGTTCTCTGGAGCCACTTGCTACTGACAGAGGCATTTCATCGGCTCCTTTTCTGTAGCACTTAGTGTTTATCTAGTCAGTTATGGAGATATATGCAGCAGTGGAAAAAGGGCACAAAATTGGGAGAAAGATGATGAGGGAGAAAACTATGTAAATATTCAAAGCATGCTGTAGTGTCACATACACCCAGGAAACTGAGGTAGGAGGATGGAGGGCTCCAGGCCAGCCTAGCCTACACAGTAAGATTGTCTCAAAAGTACAACAAAAGCTAGGCACTGGTGACTCACTCCTGTAATCCTCGCTACTCAGGAGGCTGAGATCTGAGGATAGCAGTTCAAAGACAGCCCGGGCAGGAAAGTCCATGAGACTATTATCTCCAATAAACCACTGGAAAACCGGAAGTCGTGCTGTGGCTCAAGCGGTAGAGCGCTCACCTTGAGCTGAAGAGTGCAAGGACAGCGCCCAGGCCCTGAGTTCAAGCCCCAAGACTGACCAAAAAAAAATACAACAAAAAAAGTAAATGGCCGGGCACTGGTGGCTCACACTGTAATCCTAGCTACTCAGGAGGCTGAGATCTAAGAATCACAGTTCAAAGACAGCCCGGGCAGGAAAGTCCATGAGACTCTTATCTCCAATAAACCACTAGAAAACCAGAAGTGGCACTGAGGCTCAAGCGGTAGAGCGCTCACCTTGAGCTGAAGAGCTGAAGGATAGCGCCCAAGCCCAGAGTTCAAGCCCCACAACCAACCAAAAAAAAAAAAA